AAAAAATTATATCATCTTTGCCAAAACCTTTCAAAAAACAAAGTGGAGTGAAAGACATAAAAATTGTACCTCCACACGTAAAAATAAGAGAATTTTACTCTATACAAATATACTTTGACCCCTAAAAAATCAAAAAGTATCAATTTTAAATATGAAGAATTTTCCCAACTACACAAGTAATTTGATGAATATAATTTATTAAAATATATTTTTACAATTGATTTGGAAAACAAATTTGTTCACCAAATTATTTTATTTTTTTCCTTTTTTAAATTTTTTAATGTATAATTTTTTTAGAAAAATCATATATTTACTTTCGACTTATTCATGGTAAATCTAAATTTCCGTTGGTTAATTTCAAAGAATTATAAAATACATTAAAAAAGAATTTCCAAAAAATATTATTCGGCTTAGTATTGATTAAAACATAGTTTTCTAAAGATTACGGTTTAATTACTAATAAATTGTGTGTTCTTTCAATTTAAAATTTACTTTATTTATAAATAAAATTATTTATAAATTTTTTTTTTCAAATGATGAGAGTAGAGATTGAAGTCATGAGAAGTTATGTAAAAAACATGGTTTATATTTATAATTATAAAAAAAAAATTATGATTTACGTTTTTAAGTTATATTATCTATGAATTAAATTACTTTTAGATTTAAAAAATTATGAGTAAATTTCTATAAATCTTAAAATTAAATGCATAATTATATAAAAATATCAAATAATTGTATTTCGAAATATAATTGCAACAAATTGAATGATTTCAAGAAATTTAGTTGTCTAATGATTTTTCCTAGATGTAATAAAAAAGAGGGGTCCATTTTACTTACAAAAGAGAAAAAGGGACCCATGATTTCAAATTTCAGTTTGTTAGAAAGGTTTGTTACCGTTGGTGAAGAATCATATGTCCTACACTTAAACCTTAAAGGGCACTTGTTGAAAAAGGTATCTCATTCTCACCCTACAAAATAAGTACTAATAAAAAGGTACTCTCTCTTATCGTTATAATAAAATTAATATTTTCTTTTAATTTTATTGAGTAGACAATCATATTCACTTGTCGATTTATAAATTCAATCTCAAATTTAAAACAAAAAAACAACAAAGATTCAATAGCTCAAATAACTAAAATAAATTCGGAATTTCCATTAAAAATGAGTTTGAATACTATATATTCATAAAAAATTATAACTATTAGATATAAAAATTATGAAATATGTTATTTAATTTCTACAGTTTTATTTAATGTGTAATTTATAATTCATACTTCATAAATTAATACGATTTTCAATTGAGATTCTATAACCAAAGTGTTAACCATTCAATAAATAGTACTTTTAATTATCTAAACTTATTTAATTTAGTAATTTAATTAATTAAATTTTTTCATGTATATAGTACAATCAATTATAATATCACTCCATTATATATTTTTTTTTAAATATGTAAATAAATATTCATAAAGCAAAAGTAAAAAATATATATAAATAAACTAAATTAAAATTTTAGTTATTTATTTTGACCAACTTATGAAATCAGTCTTTTTATTTATCTTTTAAACAGTTTTAATCTCTATGTTCATATTTTTTTAAACATTGTTGTTCCTATTTTTTATATATGTGACATATTTTTATTGATTTGGCATAAGAAAAATTAATTATTCATTATATTTTCGACGATATTTTCTTCGATCGTCTTCTTCAAAATCTTTCTCTTTCACTGTTCTTTCGTCTTCGTCGTTTTCCATGCTTTTTATATTCTCTTTTGTTCATAGAGTATGTCACTATAAACAAGAAAGTCAAATTTGTTAAAAAAAATAAACAAAAGAACTGATATCGTGAATTAGTAAAAATAGAAAAAATTAAAATTTTAATTTAACTTATAAATTAAATATTAACTAATTTTTATTTATCCAATACAAAAAATTGAGTACAGATACCCTTAATATAAAATATTTCAAAAATAAAAAATATTTAATATTTAATAAATAATTAAATATTATCAAATAATTGATTAAAAATATTTAAAAAATTATGATGGATAAAAAAATTATCGATTTAAATATTTAATAATAGAACATATTATTTTAGTTAGGGGTATATGTAGGTCGGTTTGGGTTGAATTTAGTTAAAATTAAATCTTAAATCTTATATGATATATCAGTTTATGTGAGATAAAATAATCACTCACGATATTATTCTATCGGTTTAATTAAAATTATAAATTTGTTGACTGGATTGAGTTGTGCAGTAGGTTATCCAAAAAAAATTCTTCCTTAATATAATTATTAATGATGTGTCACAATTTTTCTTAATAAACAGTTTAATATATTATCACTATATTTTTTAAAATCAAATATTTAAATACATGATAAAATTCATCATTATAAACATATTTACAAAAATTAAAATTACATTATAGCAATATTTAAAATTACATTAAATACTTGCAAATTATAAGATTTAGCATAAAAAAAAAGTAAAATGTGACATCCTAAACAAATTAAAATCATTACTTATCCATAATTCAATTATTTTAAATGAAGTTTCATTTTTGAAAATCGTACTCATCTAATAATTTGATCCAAGAGTTGGTTTAAATGAATATTATTGAGTTTATTGATTTTATCCAACTCATATATCATCCTAATTTTGATAGGTTTATCATAACCATGTGATTATTGAGTATAATTTTTATTTTTAAAAAAAAACTTATGATAACATCAAACATATATTATGTTTAAATCGATGGTTAAGAAATGCAAAATAAACTATTATATAGAGTTCAAATTTTTGTAGAATTTCTTTGACGGTGGCTATATATAACAATTTCTCATATTTTGCAACTAGAAATCTCTAGGAAACAAATGATAAAAATATAGCATTTATGATGATCCTAGGGTTAGTTGGTGGTGCATAGTGGAATTTAGGGTTGATTCATTGTCAACGGAAGCACATATGAGCAAACAACGGAAATTTTGAAAAAGATGGTCTAATAAATGAAACATACTCTGAAATGTCAATGGATATAATAGATGGAGCAGTGCCTAAGAATTTTCAATTTTCAAAATATACAATACAAGTATCTTGTGATATCATAATAGGTTTTTCATTCTTAGATATACTTTCCTTCCCAATTAATACACAAAGATACATTTCTTTTCCCATTCTCTCCTTCAATTTTTCATAGCTTAAGACTATGTTACTTTTATCAATGAGCAAGGAATCTCATTAAAATTACCCATTTTTAATCTAATTAACAACATTACTTCTCAAGACTAAGTTTAAATAAAGTTTCAATTAGTCCCTCTAGCCAAATTTAGTTAATGAATGTATTTATTTTTTGAAAGAGATAAAAGTGATTTTGAAAATATAAATTGGTTTTGAGTTGAGTTTTACTTAGTTGATTTATTATAATCATGAAATGATTTTTTTAATTCTAAATATTATTTTTAATCTCAAATAATTTTTGTTATGATCTAACAGTTAAATGCATTGTAAATTACGTTTAGTTCATAATTACAGAAATATTTAATGTGTTGGAATGCAATTTAAATTTAGAATTTTTATAAAGTGTATGATTTCCATCACTAGGTTATTTGACTTAAAATATTTATTCAATTCAATTTTAATCTAAAATTAATTTTACAAAATAAATTATCAAATTACTCTTTCACTTTAAAAAGGGCATTCTCAAATAAATTCATAAGATTAAAATGATTCGGTCAAATTAATTATTATTAATAGAAAAATTTAATTGATAGTAAGTAATTAAATATATAAGATCACTTTGATAATAAATATAGTTAAAATACAAAAACTTAATTCATAATAAATAAGTAAGTATACATACCAATTTAACAATTTAATGGACTAGAATTATTCTGTAAATATTCATAAATTATGAGATTTATTTATAGCGTTTTTAAATATTCATTAATTCTCTGAGATTGACTAACTAATTTTTTATCTTTAAATAAAATGATAATAATTACTAAAAATCCTCGCATAATTATGATATATCTACAAAAATTTTACACTAATATATTATTATTGTGATAGAATTATACGTACAGGAGTATAGTTAGTTAGGTTGATATGAAATGGGGTGTTATTAATAAATATTTATTTTTTGAGAAATGATATTTTGACATCAAAAAATTACACTATATTATATATATTATTCACGGATATATAAATAGTAAATAGTATTTTCATATTATTTTGACTTTTAATATATTTTTTTAAAATTAATTTAGTTAATGAAATATTAAAATTTAATTAATAAAATTTAAAGTTTGATTAATATATATTATGATATTAAAAAATTAATATATATACTGTTTATTAATTAATATTATATATAAAATTAGTTATTCATTATTTAATTAATAAATTTTTAGACATAAAAAATTATTAAATAATAAAATAAAATTAGTTAATAGAATATAAAAATTGATTAACATATTTATAATTTAGTCTCAGAACATGTTAATAATATGTATTTTATTAATTAATGAAATAATAAAAATAATTAATAAATTATAAATAAAATAATTAATTAATAACATAAATTTTTATGATTAATACAATTGTAAAATTGATTAATGACATACTCTTATATTTATATTATCAAATAAATTTTAAAAAAATATATTTAAAAAATTATTATTATTTATTTAAAAAATAATATTATTTTAATTAAAAAACAGTGTTCGTAGGTGAATAATGTATGGTATAAATATTTGGTGTAGTCAACGTAGCAATCCTCTTTTTTTTTTTTCTTAAAATATCGTAGAGGGGCAATACTGGAACTCAAAAGTTATTTCTTTCTTTCTTTCGTATATAAAGTCCATATTCGTGAGAAAGACATACAAAGAGAGAACCAAAGAAGAAGAAAAAAGAGAAAAACAGAGCAAGATACAGAATTCAAAAACAAACGCTAAAACTTTAACAACAAAAAAACATCATTCGTTGCAACCGTTTGAAAAAACATGGAAGAAATCGTGTTACTGGTCGATGATTTGAAGCTACTTTCAGGAATTTCTCGCTGTAGAATTTGCCATGAAGAAGAGTTTGAAACCACCAAAACCTTGGAAGCACCATGTTCTTGTTCCGGAACCGTTAAGGTAAAAATATATATATATAGTTTATTAATTGTAAGCAACTGTTGTAACTTATAAGCTTATGCTTTTTTTTAATTTTGATTAATAGCTAAAAAGTGCTTTTTTTTTCAGTTTGCTCATAGAGATTGTATACAAAGATGGTGTAACGAAAAAGGAAATATAATTTGTGAAATATGTCTCCAGGTAAATATGATGATTTAGATCATTCAGTTTTCTTTCTTCTTTTGCACCCTTCATATAACGTTTCTGTTTTAATATGTTCTAATCAATTTTGATTTTTTTTTCTTAATATTATTGGTAATTAATTTTTGTTTTTGATTATAGAAAAAATTGAAAGAAAGAGTTATCTGTTTGGACACGTATTTGGGCGTCGTTAGAAATTATGTTATGACGTAAATTGGATGGGCTTCCCTATCTGATTTTGACTTATTTGAAACGTTCATAAATTTCTTTCAGATTTTCTTTATTCATTTAGTTTTTGTCTTTTGCTTATGTTAGCTTAAAATTAAAATCTATCTATTTTAGTATATTATGTCTACATAAAGGGTTATTTTATCTGTTCGTTGGTTTCTTTCGATATAAAGTTTATAAGCTGAATAAATATAACTTTTTTTTGTTTTAATAATTTAGTTTCTAAATATAAAAATAAAAGATACGTGTATAATTTGTTGAGCTAAAATTGATAATCGTTTTTGCAGCAATATGAACCTGGATATACGACTCTTCCAAAGAAGACAGAGATAAATGATGAAGCAATGTCCATAAGGTACTTTACCGCGTTTAATAATTCAATTCAAAACAGCTTTGAACTGATTATTTTATTTAATCAATTATTTCTCATTCTTGCGTCTTAGCTACACATGAGGGAGCAACTATATTATATACTTTTGGTGTTGCGTATTAATTGACTGAATATTTTCTACCTTGTCCTTCAAATTAAAAATAATCACACATTATAATAAATAAATAAAAAATGAATGATTGTTCTACATTTTCAGGGTAGAGGAAGAAGCTTCAGACTTGAGAGAAAATATGGTGGAAGGAACTGTAATAGAAAGTGATTATTCAGAATGCAGCTCTACTGCTGACAGAAGTGCAACTCACTGTCGATCACTTGCAATAGCTGTAAGCAATATTTGCATTTTCTTATAGGAGTAATAAATAAATAAACAAATAAATAAATGAGCATAATTCTTAATACAATTCATATTATTTCTAAAATTTCATTGAAAGTAACGGTCAATATTGATTAAGGTTGATTGTAATTGCCAACTGGATTTTTCCCATCAGATATTGACTTAATCAAAATAACGTGTATTTTTTCTCCTGCAGTTTACACTTGTGTTGCTGGTAAGACATTGTCTTGTAGTGCCTACAAGTGGAGCTGAAGATTACCCATTTACACCTCTTACTGTGAGTAGTGTTTTAACTTTATATGAAAAGAAACATAAAAGATATGAATGAATCAATGCTTGTGGATAATTGAACTAATGATAGTTTATGAACCAATTTTGTTATAGGTCATTGTACTAAAAGCTCTTGGAATTATTATACCCATGTACATAGTTACAAAGACAATTGGAGCCATTCAGAATACTATTAGGCGCTATCGTGGCTCTGACTATGACACATCTCTTCCCGATGAACATTACAGAAATGATGCAACACACCAAGAAAATTTAATAGATTCATAGATTATTTACTTCAATGTGTATCAGAGTGTCATGAATAATGATGCTCATTAAATTACAAAAATTTCTGGCATAAATATAGACAATTGATTTCTGATCAAAATACATCTTTAATCTTCCCTTACCTATTGCATGCAATCTCTATCACCACTTTCACTGCAACTATTTACTATCAACAAAACAGATCTGTTGGGCAACCAACATATACAAATTCCAACCCAGCTATATCCATTCCTAACAGATTTGAAATCAAATTTTTCTATCAGAGTCTCAATTCTAATGTATTGAAATAGTTTAACATTGCTGTAGAAGCTTTCTGGCTTTATGTTGAAGTTTCATTAGGGAACAATCAGAAACAGCCTCCTCACTACTCAAATTTGTAGCAGCATTATTCAATTTTTGTACCACTCCTATTATCTTATCAACCCAACTTTGATTCAAACAGTTTGCTTTAGAAGTCACGTTTCTGTATTTTCCATAACTGGCCTCAAATTCTCTGGACTTAGCAGCAGCCTTCTGAAGCACAGAAGTAGGTAGTCCTGAAATAAAATAGAGACGGGTTTTACACATTCATAACAACCAGCATAATCAGCATATCACACAATAAATGTTTTCCAAAGATGGAAAAGACTTGTTGACTCATCTTGATATGTATTTTGTAAGATTGCCAACCCAAGCTTAAGCTTTCAAAAACCTTAAATATAGCAAGGATTCAATAAACTAAAACTTAATGCAACAGGCAGTTTTTGGATGTTAAGTGAAATAATGTATATGATAGTTCAAAGCAACAAGATAACATACCGGCTAATCGAGCAACATTAACACCATAGCTCTTGGGGCAAGCACCAGGAGTCAGCCTGTAAAGAAAGGTGACTTCGTCCAAACCTTCATTTCCACTACCAACTTGGCATGCCATGTGAGAGAGACGTACCTTAACAACAAATGCAGGAAAAGCCAACTCCAAATATAATTATGTTCTCAAACACTAGCAAAAATGGAAGGTAGAACAAACTACTACACTAGAATGTAAGCTTTCTATAGCATATGATATCTATATAGGTCAAAACTATATAATTTATAGAAAATCATGTACATCAATATACTTAAGCATTCAAAGATACAAGCATTGGAGGGCAATTAAATATTCCAGTGATGATTATGCAGGATAAAAAACTGGGTATACCTTGGGATCTTTGACATGATCTATAGCTAATCGATGATAGTGTGTAGAAAACAATCCACGACACTGCACCCTTCGTACAAGATGTTCTAATACTGATTCCCTGCCAAAAATTTCAAAGCACAAATCATAATCTGTGATGGACTCGCCAGTAGTTAGAAAATCAATCAAGAATACTGACACCACTAGGAAACAAATGCAATCCCACAAACACTTACGCAATAGCCTGTCCATCAGATGTGGAAGTCCCACGCCCAAGTTCATCCAGAGCCACCAATGAGTTTCGAGTGGCTGATGACTGTATCAGTCATCAAAATTAGTCAGGTCAGATAATACAATTGTTCAGCAGTATAATAAATGAACAAGTTGACCTAAACCAGTATAGATGAGACTCTAAACATGTCTTGTTTTATGCTTGAGTAATCAAGTTACACATGCTACAAGGTAAAGTGATACTCAAAGGACCATCTTACCAGCATTGTTGCAGTTTCTGAAAGTTCAGTTAAAAATGTACTTTGGCCAGCCATGATATTATCTCTGGCACCCATCCGAACAAAAATTCGGTCCACAGGAGACAATTCAAAACTTTCTGCAGGGACATCAGCCCCTACCTGCGTGAGAAATTAAAATTACTAAATCCAATGGGAAAAGACAAGCTTATTCTAGACAAGCCTCGAAGGGATGAGGTTCCACTTACCACGTAATTTCCCTCTTCGACAGGCCAAAGAATAAATATTAAATTCAAAAAGTAAAGTGACATAAAAAAATTACCTGGGCCAAAATCACAGCCATGCAAACTTGCCGAAGAAGAGTTGACTTCCCACCCATGTTAGGACCAGTAAGAAGAATAAAGGAGGCCTGATCTGGACCACCAATGGTTATGTCATTAGGTACAAAGGCACCTTTTCCTAGGCAATCACTCCTGAGAACTGGGTGTCCAAGACCTTTAGCATAGATGTATGGGGCATCATTGGTACATGATGTCCCAACAAAACTTGGCCTGCATGTTGGTCCTTCATAGTAATCACTGACAATGGCTAAATTGATCAAAACATCCAATTCTGCAATATGTAAAATGCAACATCCAGTTTAAGCTATGTAAAAGGATAAAACTTCCAAGTTTCTATTTAAAAAACACAATCATCATTTTAAAACTTATAAGAAAAGGTAAGAACTGAATCAAGGTAAATGGGGGGGAGGGGGGAAGAGAGAACTTAATTTCAGCTGAAGAAATATAGGTTTTAACAACCAGCATCATACAAAGCTGAAACTAGGGAAGCATGTACTTCAAAAAATGGTTCATTCATACCAGCAGTTGCATGCACCAACTGCTTCCACTGAGTGTGATGTTCACAAAAACGCCCAATCAGTCTCTGAAATGTACTTTTCAATAAGGTCTCCCTTTCAGATTCAGCATGGGAGAGTTCTTTCAAAAATATTTTAATATCTGGAGTCCAATATCTAGAGAAGCCCTGCAAATGCCATACGAAGAAAATGAAGCAAATTCCCTTATGTTTACAGTCATAAGTGTTGGCTATAACTTATGAAGAGCCATCCAACATGTTCACATGGATTATATTTTTAATCACTAGCAACATAAATAATAGTATATACTTGCATTCTATTCACACAATTTTCAGAGCATGGCCTTCTTACTTTCTTGGATGAACGCAGCTCATAATCATGAGGAATATTCTGAGACAAATTTTCAGGCACTTCCAACAGGTATGTGTCCTTTCCAACATCGACGTAAGAGATCTGACAGACAAAGAAGAACATTCAAAAACTGATTTATGTGCTTAATAAGACCGAATTCCAACTATTGTCATTCTAGGTATGTCTTACTGATGTGCATCCAAGTAATTCCTTTTGTTCCTTGAGATGCTTTAGTAAACTGGACTCAATCTCTTTAACTGCCTTAGAAGCTGAATCGTACTCTATGTCAGCTCCATCATGAGGTATTATACGACCGGAGCTATTGGCTTCCACCCAATCAAAAGCACCTTTGAAAAGATTCAGCTCCATGCTGACATCAGGAAGACCTTTGCCTACAGTTCACAATACTCAATGCATCAGGCAATAGCTGCAGAGTTGTTTCACATTATATTTATTTATTGAGATAATTTTACCAGGTGTTAAAAGATAATTAAGTTGTCTAGATTCAACATCATTTAAAATGCCACCGAGTGCCAAGCAAGCTTGTGCCATTAGTTCAAGACCGCGCAGAGCTGAAATAAACTCTTGCAATTGTTTCTTCGCTGAATCCTCATACAGAACCACTTTATTAGCATTCCTTCCACTAGCATCACTGCATTCATGAAAAGCGGGGAGCATAAATATTTTAGAAGACAATGTCAATCCCTATTTCTGTAAATAATATCACACATAGAGGTTGCACAAATATATTTTACCTAGAAGATAACACCCGTGCAAGCAACCGCTCCATGTCAGGTAGCTTTGATAATGCTTTTCGAAATTCTAGCGCATGAGGTAGATTCACTCCCTTAAAAGTAAATCATATATTAATGATTGACAAAATGTATTGATTTTGTATCTAGTGAAAATGATAAGTTCAGTCTAGCCAAGTATGTTAGCAGATGTTGAAACTGTACATTACAGACAACTCTTCTATCTACATTAGTTTGAAAGCAAAACAGACAGAGAAGCATAAGATTTCCCATACAAGCTTAAAATGCTCCATATTGGTTTGCTGGACGCAACAAACCAAACAAACTGATAGGAATCTACAATTCTACATAGAATGAGGGGGCTAGGTTTCCCAAAAAAGACTTAGTAGCTAATTATGCCGTAAACATAAATATGACAAGATGAATATGTTTTACAGGTATAGTTTTAAAAGGCATGTTTTCTCATTACCAATGCTAGTTATACAAGTCCATAAAGAGGCGCAAAAACTTTTAAACAAGAGCATGCAATAGTGGGGCAGATTAAAAGGAAAGAAAAAGCAGAATAGAACAAATTAGTTTACCTGACATGAAAAAAAATCTAACCGTTTTGGAGCCCTGCTTGGTTTACCTAGTGTACAAATAGCACAAGGGCCCCTAGCGAATTCACTGTTTCTTAAAGGACATCAGAATCAAAAACAAAATGCATGGTCAGGGAATGTACCTTTAAACCTGCAACAGCTTCCTGGCGTTCCTTAATTGACTCCACACGACATAACGGTCTTGCAAGCCATGACTTTAGCAGTCTCTTCCCAAATGCCGTAACACATTGGTTTAATTGAGCATAGAGCGTGCTACACGAGAATCACCGTGTCAGTGAAATATAAACATATATTACCCATTACAAAAAGTGAAGATAAATCCAAAGAAAAGTATACCCTGAAGACTCTCCATTTCTGTTATTCTCAAATATCTCAAGATTCTCTAAGGCTACTGCATCAAGAACCATGTATGGTTTTGAAGCAAGACCACCAAAAACAGAACATGGAAGCAACTCATACTGCGCAAATCTAAGAATCTGTTCATCTAGGAAAGCCTGTTTCAAATAATAGATCGCACCACCAAGTGCTGAGAGTGCACTGCTGCTGTCATGACCTTTTTTCACCAGCTCCTGTAAAACATCTGGAAGACAATCTAACCCACCATCCTGAACACTAACATCCCTGTTTTGCCCATAAATTCTCTTCAATTGATCCAAAGTTTTATCAGCATCCCAGAATTCCACAATTGGAATTAACTCATTCACTAGAGGGTTTCTAGTGTGTTTCAGCAGTACCCTTTCTGTTTGAGGGTTGAGTAGTTTAGCAGGTTTCACAATTTCAACTGGTCTAATCTCAGACAAGATAGAGCACAAGGCA